AACGGACGACCCCTTCTGCGGCCCCATCGTGCTGCCCCGCAGTTTTTTTGGATTCGCGGGTCGAGAGCGCACCTCTGCCGGTCGAAGCCGAGCGGGCCGCGCGAAGCTGGAAGTGACCAGAGGTGGGGGAGGAAAGGGGGGCGCAGACTCGGCACGAGGCCGCTCGTGCTCCACACGGGGAGCGCTCAAGAGAGAGGGAAGAGCGAAGGGGCGTCCGTGGCCACGGCGATGCCCTCGGCCACGAGCGGGCTCCCGGCCTGGATCGGGGGAGCCGCCCGAGGGCAGGGGCCCCGCCCACGGCGGTCGCTCGTCTTGGGTCGGGCGTGTCCTCCTGCAGGCGGACGTTCGACGAGGAAGTGAAAATGCTCCCAGAGAACACTCCAAAAAAGTGGCAAAACATGGTCGATACATCGTCCCCGGGCTATGTGTTTACTATTTTCGGAGACTCCTCCTGTAGAGGAACAGGCCCGACTTAAACCTAGATCGAAGGATCAGCCCGAAAACAGGAGCCACATCCACATCGGTAGCTCATCCATAGTCTCGGCCGTGTGACCAAAACCATACCGCTGCACCAAAACAGAGCCGACCCTCTCGCCAGACCGTCCCGCAAACAGCGCGACGCTCCTGAGCCCAAAAGTGGCCCTTACCTTCAGCGTCTCGACCGCGGGTGGCCTCTGCGAGACGAAGCCAGGACGAGGAGAAAGTTCGGGTGGGGATCAACCGAGAATCTCTAAGATCCCGCGGCTCTGGAGGATGCCTCTCGGGGGTGTCCAAGAGGGGGGGGGGGGGGGGGGGAGGGGGGGGGGGGGCAAATCAGGGCCAGCGGCATGTGCGCAGCCCAGGGTGGGCAGGGGACGTAACGAAATAAGAAGAGGCGCCATGACATCTGGGGAGATACCATGGCCCCCGCCATGATATCCACGCCCCCCTAGTCATCATCCCCCTCTTTGCCGCTCCCGAGATGCCTCGGGCGCCGCTGCCTTCTCGGAGCGTCCCGGAAAACGATCCGGTAGAGTTGCAGAACGCTCCAGAGCAGATGTTTGTACCCTGGTCCCCGACCCTGCCATTCCGAGGTCGCCAGGACATCAGCAGCGGAGAGCACGCGCCTCCTTGCTCGCCGCCAGCCTATGCTCAGGTCGGGCATGTCCACCTTCAGAGGCGGATTCTGGATGGAATCAAATGAAGTGAATAAAAAACAAAAAGTAATCCAACAAAAACTTGCTGTAGGAAAATAAGAGCACGAAAAAGCGTCACCTAACTATTTCTCGATTCTTGGATATACCTCCTGTAGACGGACATGCCCGACTTACGCCTGTGCGGCCCCGTCGACCCCTAGAGGGAAGCGCAGGTAGCCCACCGCCCGGGCGGCGCCTCTTGTGGGCCAGAGCCCGGGCCAGAAGCGGCGCAGTCTTACTGTCAGCAAGGGCAATGCCAGCGATACACCTACGCCGATCCTGGCCATGCCAAACGGAGCCAGGATCAAGACAACATCGGAGCGGGCTGGATCGAAAATCTCTGCGATCTTGCGGTACTGATGGATGCATCGGGCGCCCCGGCCCTTCCAGATCGTTCCGGAACGCTCTGAGTGTTCTGGACCGCTCTGGAGCGACATATCGAGATCCCATGCCTGACTGGCCATGCCCATCCTGGCCAGGAGGGCACATACGCCGATGGCGGGCCAGACCGGTGCAGGTGTAGAGTTGGCGTCCCCCGATCAGTGTCTCGGATCCCAGACTGTACAGTGGGATTCTGCAGTGGGGAGACTGCCGCTCAAAACCGACGTGGCCGCCAGGGCAACAGGAAGCCCAGCATCATGAGGTAGGATGTACACCAGGGGCGGGCTTCTTGCCGAGCCCTGGTGCAGCCAGGTGCTCCCCTTGCCTCGGTGGAGGAGGGGGAGTGGAGGTTTTCGCAGGGTTTCGGAGGAGGAGGAGAAGGAGGAGGACGAGGAGGAAGAGGAGGAGGAGGAGGCCTTCGGAGCCTTCAGAGCACCGTCGGGCTGACCTCGGAGGAGGAGGGTTCCAGCGGAGCGAAGGGGGGGGTCGACGGTCCCACGCTTCCGCGTCCTCCTCCTCCTCCTCCTCCTCCTCCTCCTCCTCCTCCTCCTCCTCCTCCTCCTCCTCCCTCCTCCTCCTCCTCCTCCTCCTCCTCCTCCTCCTCCTCCCTCCTCCTCCTCCTCCTCCTCCTCCTCCTCCTCCTCCTCCTCCTCCTCCTCCTCCTCCTCCTCCTCCTCCTCCTCCTCCTCCTCCTCCTCCCTCCTCCTCCTCCTCCTCCTCCTCCTCCTCCTCCTCCTCCTCCTCCTCTCCTCCTCCTCCTCCTCCTCCTCCTCCTCCTCCTCCTCCTCCTCCTCCTCCTCCTCCTCCTCCTCCTCCTCCTCCTCCTCCTCCTCCTCTTCCTTCCTTCCCTCCTCCACCGAACCTGGGGGGGAGGGGAAGCAGGACGAATCGGCGGCGCGCCGGTGGGGGGAGGGCGAGGGGTCAGGCCTTCGCAGAAGGCGGCGGTGATTCTCAGAAGCCCTCTGGCCTGCTGAGAAGCACGCTGTGTCTTCGGAGTAGGCTCAGCCAGATTCTCAGGAGTCCAGAAGCACCCTGACCCCTCTCAGAAGTCCCGCCCCCTCTGCCTTACCCCCTCGGCGCGCCGCCGAGTGAAGGACAGGATGTATTTCACGATCTGTGGCGTCTTCGGCCTGAGCGCAACACCACCGAGGAAGGAGAGACGAGTGCACGAGGAGGGAGAAGGGTGGAGAAAGATCTCTACAATGTTACTGGGGAGGTCCAGGGGGACTGGGTCCTGGGGGGCCCTGGCAGGTTCTGGAAGGAGGGAGGGGAAGGAGGAGGAGGAGGAGGAGGAGGAGGAGGAGGAGGAGGAGGAGGAGGAGGAGGAGGAGGAGGAGGAGGAGAGGAGGCGGAGGAGGAGGAGGCGGATGAAGAGTCCGCTTGCTGGGGGTGTGAGATGATTGACTGTCCCCCTGCCCCTTTCCCCTCCCCTGGGGTCTGAAATCCTGCTATAGAGGGGGGGGCGCCAAGCTCATCAATGCTCCCCAAGGGCCTCGGGAGCCTCTCTGGCCTCCATTTCTACACTCTGTGGCCTCCAAGATGCCTAAGAATCGATCTAAGCTTGCTCGCTCAAGCAGGGTTTCAACACGTGTGGGAATCCTCGAACATGACTACCCAAAGGGGCTCGGAAAACGTAGAATTTTAACAGAATATCATGATCGGTCTCAACAGCGTCCAAGACGGCTAAAGGGGCCCCCCTGATCGCTCCAAGACGGCCCAAAAAGCCCCCAAGAGGGCCCCAAGACGGCGAAGAGGGTCCCAAAACGGTCCAAGAGGCTCCCAAGATGGCCCAAGAGAGCCCCAACAGGGCCCCAAGAGGGACTCAAGAGAGGTATGCAACTCGAACTGACATTATGAGCTCTCCGCCCCAAGAGGACCCCCGAGACCGCCAGCAGGCGCCCAAGAAACTCCCAAGAGGCCCGAAGAGGCCCGCAGAGGGTCACCGACAGGCCCCAAAGGCATCACACCCACTGACTTCATCCCTCCTCTGGGGGTCGGCGGGCTTTCGCGCCCGACGGCGATCGCCAGACGCGGAGCTGCTGGAGGCATCCTGCGCCCGGCACCGCTACCGTGCCAGGAGAACCCGGAATCGAATCGACAAGAAGAATCGGCAATCGAAAAGATCGGCAGAAATCGGCCGCCAAGCCGGGAGGAGTCGAATCGGCGGACATCGGCAGAGCAATACAAGGCATCCTCGAGGGATCGGCATCCGAATCGGCATCCGAAGTCGAGTCGAACCCGAATCGGAAGCCGTCGACATCGAATCGAGTTGGAGGTCGGAGGCCTGGAAATTGGCACCAACACCAAGACAGGGGGTTGCCTCCACAGGGGGAAGGTGACCCTAGATTTTCGGTGTTGGTGGTAATAGTTCGGCCACCTTGGAAGCCAGAATATTACCACCATCGCCGAGATCGGGATCTTCTTCCCTCGGTGGAGGCAAACCGCCGAAACTGGTGTTGATGTTCATCTCTAGGCCTGCGAGGAGGAGCCGACAGAGCCCTGCAAAAGGGGGCGCGCTCGCGCAGCGCGGCGGGAAAGGGCGGGCCGACCGCGCCCGGCAGGCAGGCGCCCAGGGCGCGGCGCCGGGGCGCAGGGCGCGCGGGCCGCGGGCGCGCAACGGAGAGGCGCGCGCCGCCCCTCTGAGCGCAGGCTCTGTCTCGGCGGCAGAGGGTCGGCGGCGAGCCCGGGGGGGGGGAAGCGAAGAGGAGGAGGCCTTCTCCAGGGGAACAAAGAGTGACATATCGGGGATGGACAGACCCCCCTTCAGCAAGACGTGGTTTAGCGAAAACGCCCTGAGGCCCAAACCTGGCGGGCGCGAGGCTGGAGAGTAGCGGCCACGGCGCCCTCTCGAGAACCGAAAACGGACAATTCACTGATCGACGTGTCACTGTTGGGGGTTCTGCCCACCCCCGAACATAAACATAAAAGCTCGGAGGTCCACGCGGATTTCTCGGATCGGCGATGGGGCCCCCCGGCGGCGCCTCCGGCGCCGCCCCTGGCGCGCTCCGCGCGCCAGGGAGGGAGGTCCAGCGCCGATCCGAGAAATCCGCGCTGACCTCCGAGTTTTTATGTTTGTGTGACTTTTCGTTCCCCTAAGAAGGCCTCCGGTCTTCTGAGAGGCTTCCTGTGTGTCTTCGGGGAACGCCTGGAAAATGGCTCACACGACCCAGGGATTTCTGAGCCCTGTGAAGAGGCCCGCCACTTTTCACTTCCCCCCGGGCTCGCCGCCGAGAAGGGCGACGAAGCGGAAAAAAGGCAACCAGCCTCAAACATATCCCTGTCCCTAAGATCGGCAAGCCCTGCGCCATGGAAATATTAGGGGCATGCCCTCAGAAGCCGAGGGAACCCTCAAGATCGGAAAAGAGGTAACGAAATACCAAACATAGGGATCAGGATCTGTTTCAAGCTGGTAATAAGAGGGCACAAACGTTCGGTGGCAACTCCTGGGAGCCGCCCATGCCCATCTTGCTGGCTCCCGCGAATCGACGCTGAACCGACGCTGATCGAGGCTGATCGACGCTAAACCAGCGCTAGCACATCGATTACCAAACGCCAATCGACGCTGATGCATTCTAAAATCGGGGATGGACAGAAACCCCCTTTAGTAAAACGTGGTTCAGTGAAGACGACCTCGGGCCCAAACCTGGCGGGCGTAAGCATGGAAAATGACGGCCGCGGCGCCCTCTCGAGAACCGAAAACCGACAATTCACTATTCGACGTGTCAGGGTGGGGGTTCTGTCCACCCCCGATAAAAGCAAAACCCACATGCTGTGATACCGAACGACAGGAAGCGGCATCGGGACACAGCCTGACGGGGATAAATCGGAGATCTCCGAGGCCTGGTGGCTCTGATGGGATGCTGCATATCGCGCGCCGCGGCCTCCTCTCGCAGCGCTCCGAGAGCGCTCCGAAAACGCTCTGAGAGCGATTTTTATCCCGACCCTGGACCAGCTTCTCCGAGGACGAGGCGGGAGCAGCAGCGGCGCGAGCGGCATCAGGGGGCATGGCCTCTTCTGTATTCGGAGGACAAGACAAGAAAACAGCTGAAACGTTCACTCTCGGGGGGCCCGCGCAAGTTGCATGGATCTCCCCCTGCCGGGCGCGCCTGGGGCGCCGCCGGAGGCGCCGCTGGGATGCCAGAGCTGCTCAGGATTCGGTCGGGCACGTCCTCCTGCAGGCGGATTTCGGGCGGAAAAAAAAAAGAAACCAAAACAAGACAAACTAAAAAAAAAAAAAATCAACATACACAAAAAAAGAGAAGAATAAGAAGAAGAAGAAGAAGAAGAAGAAGAAGAAGAAGAAGAGGGGGGGGAGAACAAAAAAAAAAAAAAAACGTCCGCGGACTAGCTTTTTCCTATGTTTGAAGACTCCTCCTGCAGAGGGACGGGCGCCCGACGTGAGCCCCAGGGCCCGGAGAGGGACGCGGCCGCGGCGCTCGCGCGCACCAGGAGGGCAGGAGCGGCGGCGGGGCGGCCCTCCTTCGCTCGCCCGGGTGTCCGGAAGGCCTCACCGGGGAGGAAGTCGTTTTGGGGCAACTCACGCGTGCTGTTTTCAGGTCGGGCCTCGCCAGCGTCGGTTTAGGGTTTACACTACGTATTAGCGTTCGCTGGGCTTGCCGCGGTTTGAATCGGCCTGCGCATCGGCTCCCGCCATAAACCTCGAGGAAGGCTCGAGCGGCGGTGCCCTCGGGCGCATGAATTGCGAGGAAGCGGGCTGCGCACGGTTGCTCGCGTCGGATATGCGTCGGCGCGCCCATCAGGCGCTCGCGCAGGCTTGCGCCGGGCTCGTTTCGGACCCGCTTCGTTCGTCTAGCTGTCGTTCGGGCTTGCCAATGCGTTGTGCTTTTCGTCTTGAGGGTTTAGGGTTTAGGATTTAGGGTTTAGGGTCTAACAGGCTTGGCCACGATTACAACTTGGCCACGAACCCACCTGCGGTGGCCGTCAATCCCACCAGCAAGCCACCCCACCATAAAGATCATCTCTCCTCTCCTTGCAAGAAGATCGGTTCAAACGACGACGAGGACGACGACGAGGACGACGGCGCAATAGCACAGTGGCGGGACAGGCACAGGCCAAGTAGAAGTAAAAGGCAACGCGCACATGAAGGTGCCCACATTTGGGGAACCCATGCTGTGCTATGCAATGCCATAGCACAGTGACAGGACAGGCATAGAGCAAGTAAAGTAAAAGACAACGCGCACAACGCGCACGACAGGTAAATGCCCTCTGGCTCCTATGTCTTTACATAGCGGGTCGTAAAGATCCCAACATCAGGCTGGATCCAGGAGTGCGCCTGGGAGCACGCATGATCAGGAAATAATATGTTTTGCATAGGAATGTGGGTGATTTACATAGCAGGTCGTAAAGATCCCCATATCCGGCTCGATCCAGGAGTGCGCCTGGGAGCACGCATGATCAGGAAATAATGTGTTTTGCATAGGATTGTGGTTGATTTACATAGCAGGCCGTAAAGATCCCCATATCAGGCTCGATCCAGGAGTGCGCCTGGGAGCACGCATGATCAGGAAATAATATGTTTTGCATAGGATTGTGGGTGGTTTACATAGCGGGTCGTAAAGATCCCCATATCCGGCTCGATCCAGGAGTGCGCCTGGGAGCACGCATGATCAGGAAATAATATGTTTTGCATAGGATTGTGGGTGGTTTACATAGCGGGTCGTAAAGATCCCCATAGCAGGCTCGATCCAGGAAGTTGGATGGAAGTCAGGAGGCATGGGGTCTGGATAATCAGGATTTAATAATCATAGGATTAAAAATTTAAGGTTTAGGGTGTCCGGAGAGCCTCGTCAGGGACGAGGTGATTTTGGGGCAACTCACGCGTGCTATCTTCAGGTCGGGCCTGTCCCCCTATTGGGGCAGCTTGGACGAAGAATACCAAATACTCGAAATATATCTTTAAAATGCTCGAAGATAGTTTGAAAAAATCGTCCCCAGACTGGTTTTTACTGTTTTCGAATCTTCCTCCTGTAGAGGGACAGGCCCGACTTCACACCAGGGACGAGGTGATTGAGGCAACTCACGCGTGCTGTTTGACTCAGCATTTTTCAGCGAGCGCGCAGACGCGCCGATGTGCACGCCACCCCGAACGTCCGTGGGCGGAGCCCGCAGCCCGCGACTCGGACCGACCGACCGACGAGACGAGAAAATCCAGAGAAGTGCGGCGGCACTGGCAGGAGCATCCAGGACCCCCGAGAGCGCATGGTGAGCGCTTGCTTATTCAGCGTCTCGACATTGGGCGGAAAGGGGGGGGAGGGGGGGGGCTCCGGACCTCTGCTTGGTGCGACTGTTTGCGACGTTGCGTCCTGTGGGGGAGAGGCTCCATCTGCTCGAAACAGGCGCTTAAGACAGCCAGTGTCTACTCCACGGGAGGGGGGGGGAGGGGGGGCACCGAGGGCCCGCGCCGATCGGTATAAAACAGTGCATAAAAGCACGATGACATGTCTGCGACGTTGTGCCATCTTCGAGTGCTCAGTCGGGGACTGGCTCCGTCGGGGAAGCATCGACTTGGAATCGGCCACGCCTCGCCGACAGAGCGGCGACGGGCCCTCGGCCAGCGAGACCGGACCCGGGGATGCTCCCGGGTGCGACTGGGGGAGGCCGGGCCCCTCTTGGGAAGGAGGGGAGGGAGGGCCGACGCTCCCCCACGGGCCAGTCCCAGCCCTCGCCCTCGCCCTCGCGATCACGCGTCTTCGAGTGCTGGACCTGCGCGAGGGGGGCCCTCTGCTGCAGCCGCGCCCTCGGCCCGCCAAGGGGCCGCCCCCTCCGCGCCTAGCACACTGGGGCGGCGAGCACCCCGGCCGCTATGGCCAGCGACGCGGCCTCCGCCTCGCCGAGAAGCGTGAGCAGGCCAGACCTGACACGAAGCCAGGGCGAGGATAAATTCGGAAGAGGAGGAGGAGGACGAGGAGAAGGAGGAGGAGGAGGAGGAGGAGCAAGAGGAGGAGGAGGAGGAGGAGGCGGAGGAGGAGGAGGAAGAGGAGGACGAGGACGAGGACGAGGAGGAGAAGGAGGAGGAGGATGAGGAGGGTTCAGCGCCGCCAACATCGATCTGCTCTCCCTCGGGACCCGCGCGATGTGTGGCGAGGATGCACCGAGTATCTCTGAGATCCAGCGGCTCTGGAGGACGTCTCGGGCGCCGCGGCCTTGTCGCAGCGTCCCGGAACGCTCCGAGAGCGTTCCAGAACGCTCTGGAACGGATTTATCCTCGTCTGGCCCCGCCCGACCCATCCCAAGGGCCGAGCCCTCCGGACTTCGCCAGGAGCGACTCCAGCGGCGGGGGGGCCGGGATCTCGCTCATGGGCTTCCCGATCAGACCCGCCAGCGTGCCCCCAGGCACGCTAGAGCGTGGTACGGTCAAAACGTGTACTAACGACAGGTGGTGAGGACGTGGAGGCCGAAGTCGGGAATGTTTGGGCGGCGGGCGACCCGTGAAAACGGCAAAGGACGGGCCGCAGAGGCAAGGACACAAGGGCACCCTGGCTGAAGACGCGCGTCCTTACTGGGCGCGCGTTGACTGTAGGCAGGACTGACTGCCAGGGCTTCCGAAAGCCTTTTCAGGGCCCCCGCCTTCTCTCCTTTCACTGCCACACGTGCACCGCCCCCTGCTGCCGAAGCAGCCTGGGCGGCCTGGCGCCTCCGCGAAGCTATCTCTGAAGCTTCTCGGACGGCCCAGAAGGCCTCCACAAGGCCGCCAGGATATCCCGCCTCTGCCTCGAAAGGCATCCAACAGCCCCCGAGAAGACCCCGAGAGGCGCCAAAGGGACCCCAACAGGCTTCCAAGACACGACAGGGACAGCATTGGACGCTTTAAATATGCTACACTTCCAGGGCGTCTCGGCTCAAGCCGGTTCTAAGATAAGAGGGCCTCAAGGGGAGCCCAAGGGACGCCCAAAGAAACCCTGTCTGAGCCCTGAGGGGCCCCCCAGGAGGCCTGGGACAGCCCCAAGAGGGCCCCAAGACAGCCCAGAAGGAGGCAAAAGGGGCCAAGGACAGCCCAAGAGGGCCCAAGGATGGCCCAATGAGGAGAGGGCCCCGAGAAGCCCCCGCGATAGCCCCTCCAGCCACCCCAGGCGGCCGAGAAGGGCGCAAGACGGCACCAGGACGGCCCGCCCAAAGAGGGCCCCAAGAGGGCCCCAAAGAGGGCCCCACGGGAGCCGAAGGCAGCCCCAAGACTGCCCGGGTAGGCATGCGAGCCGTTCAAGGAATCACAGAGGCGGCGAGAATTGACACATGTTACGGCTCTCTGGGCGGTGTTCGAAGCGTCGCCGCACAGAGCGCTGCGCTGGCAGGGTGGCGGACCTTGCCGTAGGCATCTGGATAGTCTCTCGCCCTGGTGGAAACGTGGCCAAAAGCCACCGCATCCCCAGAGCGCCTCGAGATCTCCAGCACCAAACACGAATCGCCCCCGCCCTGGCTCTCTGTCCTGTAGACCTTGAACCTGACGGTGCACCGCAAGAGCGCACCACCGACGGGAACGGAGACAACCGAGTGCACCGATGCCCTACCGCCCTGTGCCCCGTCCTTGACGATCTGGGCGGGGCCCTCCTCCTGCAAGAACTCTGACATCTTGGCCAGGGCCTCTGCAGCAGACATTCCCCCCAGTTCCACCCGCGTGCCGACGAGGAAGCGCCGGTGCATGAACTTCGGCTCCCTGGCAGCCGCACTGGTGGTGCGAGGCGGGGGTTTGCTAGCGGCGCTGCTGCTGCGAACCAGGTCCTCTTGGTACCCGTCGAAAGCTGCCTGGTCGGCGGCGCGCCGAAGGGGGAAGTGCGAGGGGGAAGGCCTTATCAGAGAGCGGAGGCGCTTCTGAGAAGCCCCCCAGCCTTGTGCGAAGCCCTCATGCGAACTCGCCCCCTCTGCCTTCTCCGGGCCTCCGACGACGTGACTTGTGCTTGCACAGGGGACCCCCGAGGCCACTGGACCTTCTCAATGGAACCAGTTTCGCATCCAAAGGGACCTTCTCAATGGAAACACTTCCGCATCCAAAGCCGTTGTGTGACGGTCCTGGCGCCTGGGGTCCACAAGGGCCGAAGATCGACAAGAGCACCCCGTCGCAGTTCCCCACATGCTAGAGATCCGCCCATGGGGGCATCATCATCAGCATCATCATCATCATCATCATCATCATCATCATCATCATCATCATCATCATCATCATCATCATCATCATCATCATCATCATCATCATCATCATCATCATCATCATCATCATCAACATCATCATCATCATCATCATCATCATCATCATCATCATCATCATCATCATCATCATCATCATCATCATCATCATCATCATCATCATCATCATCATCATCATCATCATCATCATCATCATCATCATCATCATCATCATCATCATCATCATCATCATCTTCCTCCTCCTCCTCCTCCTCCTCCTCCTCCTCCTCCTCCTCCTCATCCTTTTCCTCCCCCTCATCCATTCCTTTTTCCGTATGACTAACTCGCTCTCTCCTGTCGCACCCAAAAGACGGTCGGAAGGGCGGGCCAGGCGCTTCGCCCAAGATAGCCCTACCAAACATGAGCCTGAAGCTTGGAAACCCGCAACGGTTTCACATATGGAGGGCGGGTCGTTTCCTAAAAGTGGTTTTCGTTTCAGCGCCGCACACATTCGTCCTAAAAGTTTACAAGGGTTTCACTGATTGAGGGCGGGTCGTTTACAAAATGTGGTCCTCGCCTAACCTAAAAGCCGCGAACACTCGTCTTCACAATGTGCAAGCGTTTCACGGGTTGGGGCGGGTGGTTTTCAAAATGTGGCTCTCGCTTTAAGGCCGCGCACACTCGTCTTGCGCATGCGCACAAACTTCACGGTTTGAGAGCGGATCGTTTTCAAAATGTGTTTCCAGCCTTAACCCAAAGCAACTTCTCCTCAAAGCGGAAAATGTTTTACGGATTGAGGCTGGGTCGTTTCCAAAATGTGGTTTTCGCCAGGGCGCCGCGCATACTCGTGTTAACAACTTGCAAAAGCTTCACGGATTGACAGCAGTTCTGTTTCAAAATGCGGTTATTACTTTAGCGTTGCGTGCACTCGCATTGAGTGTTTGGGAGTTTCGCGGATGTTCAGGGTTAACCTTCCGGCTTATGGTCAGGGCGCAACAGTTCCGTTGATTCGCGGTTTTGAAACCCAGGAACGGCGTTCTGGAGCGATTCCAGATCGTCAAGACGCAACAGCCAGTTCGACTCGTAGCGTTAAAATCCTGACGTTGGTGATTTGGCACGGTTCACGACGGTGGTTTCCCAACGGGGCATCCGCGTCAGGGGGCATGAATCCTTGTATGGTGTCTGAGGAAAGAGAAATTGAATGCAGGGTGTATCCCTACATCATTGATGAGTCTTGGGGTTACAGTTGGCTCGTTCCTCTTCAGGTTCCTCATACCCTTCCTCATCATCAGCATCAGATCGACCAGCATCCATAACGTCGTCATATGCAGCATCTTTATCATCACCATCATCACCACTGTACCCCTCTTCCTCGTCCAGCAACAGACGTTCACACTCGTCACATTCGGACTTCCCGAAACTCAGAATCACCCGTGCTCACATCTACACATACGTTGACCCACTCAGACTCACACCTCCTCAAACTCAGACCCATTGGCGCCCAAACTATCTCACGCTCAGACTCACGCGCACTCAAACTCACCCACTGTCATATCCACTCATACGCAAACGTCCTCGCACTCAGGCTTACTCGTGCTCAAACTCGTACACATCACATTCACACTCAAATCCACCCACACTCACACACACACACACGTAGACTTACTTAAAATTGGACCGACTAGTAGTCACTCGCCCGAACTTTGACTTCTCCAGACTCTGAATCACTCACACTACGACTTACCAGCGTCAGATTCACTCACACTCAGGCTCCATCATACCCAGATGCACTCACAATCCGATCAGCCCACACCCAGATCATTCACGCTCAGACTCAATCGGATTGGGCTCACACACAGGTGGCTAGCGGGTTCAAGCACGCGTGGCAATTGGGCACCCCAAATTCCAGCAGGCGCCGCGAGAAGTACGCCAGAGAGCGTGCGTAGCAAAGCCGTGCGCGATTGCCCGAATTGCCGCAGTAAGAACGGCAAGATGGATTCCCCCTCGATGTTCCACTTATGTGTCCCTCGTTTCTCCTGAAAGATCTGCGCATGTCGTCTACGCGGACTCGCCCTCACATCCAGATACTCACAGACAGAGTTCCTCAGCGAGGCGAAACAAAAATGCGCGAGCCCAACGGGCCAGGGGCGTACCAAGATCTCTGGCTACACGTTTACACTTTCTATTTCGCGCGCGCGCGCGTGGCGGCCCCTGGGAGTGCCAGTGCGACAACATACCCCGACCGAAACCTGGGAAACTCCGGGCAATGTCCATGCAAGGTCCCCCAGAACGCCCCAGACGCCCCCCAAACGGGCCAAGAGGCCCCGAGTCGCCGAAAGATCGCGCCAAGACGACCTCCAGACAGCCCCAGAGGCCGCCAAGAAGCCCCGAGAGAGCCTTAAGAGGCCCTCCAATAGGGCCCCACGAACCACAAATCGCCCCAATCCCTCAGGAAAACGTACACGTTTCGCATAGACTTGAAGTTTCACAACGCTCAAAACTGCCCAGGAGGCCCTCAAAATCGCACCAAAACGGCCCAACAGGACCCCAAGATGAGCCCAAGACGGCCTCAGAGCGCTGCAAGACAGCCCGACAGGCCCCTCAAAACGGCTCCAGTGGCCCCCAAAGACACCAAGTGCGGTACTCCGAGCTGCCATGCCTGGGCCATGCCTGGCCCTTTCCCGCGAGATCCCTCGCGAGACCGCCAGCAGGGCCAAAGAAGCTCCCAGAAGCCCCAAACTACGAGCCCAAGAAGCCCCCAAGAGGCTCCCAAGACGCCTCCCGAGAAACCCCACGGCGTCTCCCATAGACCCGTCTTGTCGACGACCCAGTTCTGTTCGACGAGTTCCCCAAGAACCATCGACGGATCTCCTCCGTCTCCTCATCGTCGTCTTGTGCGCCAATAGCGGAATGAGCGAAGCGATACAATATGAGATGCACATATGGGGAGCTCCGCGTCGAGTAAGTTTCGTGATGCCGCGCCTGGCATGCTGCAAGGTTCTTGTCTACGTCGCCCCAGGGAGCCGGGCAGAGATTCAGGCACACCGAGCGCTTGGTCTCCTGCATCGGCGGATACGGGTCCCCACAAGCAAACGACAGCCGACTCTGCTCCATGTACTCTGCCGCAACGAGCCGATCCATAGCGCTGTTCATCGCAGCCGATCTGTCTGTACAAGAGAGAGGCGTGCGAAACTACATATACGATCAAGCCAAAGCGGCTACAGCACCGACCGATTATCCCCCGCTACCTCCCCCCTTCCCCTTGGAACCAAATTGTCCCCCCCTCTCCCCCCCTCCCGCTCGCCACCCCTTCTGCCTCTCACCCTTCCCGTAATGTCAGGTCGGGCGTGTCCCCCTACAGGCGGATTTTGGATGAAAAATAAAGCATAGTCAAAAAACAAGAATTGTCAAGTAGCAATCGAAAAAACGTCCCCATACTATTTGTTTACTATTTTGAAACATTATTCCTGTAGTGGGACACGCCCGATTTAAGACTAACGTTGCCTTCTGCTCATGGCCTGCGCTGTCAGCCACAGGTGTGGCACACGAATGGCGCCGTGCCTGTTCCGATCATGCCCTGCACCGTGTACCACACGTGGACGAGGAGGAGGAGGAGGAGGAGGAGGAGGAGGAGGAGGAGGGGGAGAAGGAGGAGCAGAAGGAGAAAGAGGAGGAGGAGCAGGAGGAGCAGGAGGAGGAGGAGCAGGAGGAGGAGCCTAACTTGTCGTGCCCGTCGTGTGCTCCGTTTTGGAGTGCCTGAGTGGCCCTCTGGGCCTCGGGCTGTAAGCTGAGTCAGGGCGGTTCGCTGCCTGCCAGAGCTCTACGCAAACGCAAGAAAAACCAGGTTGACGGTTTACCGCCGGCGCCCAGTTGTGGATTGCACAAGAGACTTGGCAAATGTGTATCAAAATATTAGAAACCCGACTTAACATGACCACCTTGTCCTTTCTGACCCGGTCGACCAACTAGCTCCGCTCTGACCGCGAATTCCTTAGCTCATCTTACCGAAGAGCTACGAAGTATTCTGAGGATGTCTTGGGCGGTTTGCTGGATTTACCTCCCCAGCGGGGAGGCCTCCGGAGCTCTCAAAAGCTCGGGGAAGACCCATTGAGGTCCAGGAGGCCTCAGGAGGTTCCAGGGGGCCCCGGGAAGCCAGGGGAAGCGCGAGGAGGCGCCAGAATACGCCAGGAGGCCCCAGGAAGCTCCAAGCGGCCCCAGGAGCCCTCAGGAGCGGCTCCAATCTTATGTGTTTTACTACCGTTTCTATAGATCAGGCCTCTCCTGGGGCGCGAATCCTTCGTGTTTTACGTGAGTTCCGATAGATTGTCCATCTCCTGTGGCTCCAATCCTAGGTTTTCTACGTGCATTCTTATAGATTAGGCGTCATGTGGGCCACGAATCCTTTGTGTTCTACGTATGTTCCTATAGATTGCCCTTATCTTGCGGTTCCACTCCTAAGTGCTTTACAGTTGTTACCTGTGCTTCTCCTGGGGCATGAATCCCCCCCGGGAGGCTCCAGGAAGGCGAAGGGCCCAAGAGGCCCCAGAAGGTCGCGGGAAAGCCACAGGGGGCCCCAAGAGGTGCCGGGAGGCTCCAAGAGGCCCGAGGGAGCCCAGAAAACGCTGGGAAGGAGCCAAGAGGCTTCAGGAGGCTCAATCCGCAGGAACGCCAGGAAGGTCCAAGGAAGCCTCGAGAGGCCCCAGGAAGCCCCAGGAGGTTCAAGGAGGAGCAGTCCCCAAGATGCCCCAGGAGGCCCCAGGAATCCCCAAGAGGCCCCGGGAGGCTACAAAAAGCAGCGGGAGGCACCAGCATTTCCAAGAGGCTCCAGAAAGCCCCAGAAGCCCCAGAGAGGCCCCAAGAGGCCCCAGGAGGCCCCAGGAGCCCCAGGAGCCACAGGAGATTTGAGGAAGCCCCGGGAAGCCCCAAGAGACCCCATGAGGATTCAGTCACGCTCAGTCCAGGCCACTGACGTGCAGATGCTCTCACCCTAAGCTTAGCCATGCGCAGGCTCACGCGCATGCTCGTACTACTGGAGCTTGATACATTCAAAGTCATTCACAGTTAGACTCTCTCCCAAGCTGTCAATATCCATGCTCGTTAAGATTCAAAGTCTCATGCGCTTATACATCCACGGCGGAAATGCCAATGCAAAGAGATGCGCATGCGGGAAGATCCACGCAGTGAATATTTGTCCTTCGTCCTTTCTCGGTGGTTTTCCCGGGGGGGGGAGGATTCCAGAGCAAAAGCTCGAATTCCGAGTTGTTATGTTGTTGGGGGGTCTGGGGCACCACACTTACAAGCAAGCTCGAAGGTTTTCTTTTTGTTGGGAGGGTTCTGCGGCACCACATTTCAAAAGCAATATTATGTGTGAAAACGCCCTGGGAAACCGGGGGGGGGACAAACAAAGACAATTCGTGTCTTTGTTTGGGGCGGAGCGGAGGTTTCCCGACGGGGCCAACTCGGTTATTTTTCGGTGGTTTCAACGCCATGCAATTCAAACGAAAACGTTTTCATAAGATCCTTCGAGACCTCTCAACCCCGCGTTTTTCCAATGCTGTTCTAGTTTTCCCGGGAGAAAACAATCGATAAACCGGTTTGGGGGCACCGCAATTACAATGTTGTTGATTTCAAAAAACCTTCTTCGGAAACTTCCGAATGAGTTTCCAACTCGGGCTCCCTATGTTTTTTTTCTCGGGCGTTCGGGTGCCCCGCATGCAAAAACAACGCTATTTCTGGTCCCAGCTGGACCCCCCCACGAAAAAAAAAACACCTCCCCGTTCGGGTTGTTCTTCGCAGTCTTTCGGTCTTCTTCAGCAAACCAAACAAAAAACAACTCGGTATCCCCTAATACCCCCCGAACACCCCCAGCCCCCCCCGCCGCCGGTCTCCGGGGGAGGCAACTCCAGAAAACAAAAAAATACTCCGTTATTTTCGGGGGGCCCGGGGCCTTCGCACATCGACCTGGATTACTTCTGCGCCCCCCCAGACAAGCCCAACTTAAAAACCACGTGCATTAGAACGACCTTTCAGCAAACACCCGAAACAAAACCCGAACTCGATGTGCTTTCTTGTTTTTGCTTGAAGGTCTCTGGCCGGCCCAGGCTCTGGGATCCTCCGAGGGGGGGAACCAGGGGAAAAATTCAACGCGGAGGGTTTCCCGCGGGTTTTCGGGCGTCCTCCAGCCAGCCCAGGCAGTGGGATTTTCTGGAGGGGGAGGGGGAGGGGCACCCTCGAAGAATGCTTCAGACTTCGAATGCTTTCAAAACTTGTTTCGGTGTTTCTGGGGCCTGATAAGGACAATCAATGCTACGTTTGAAAACCCCTCGGGAAACTCCTGAGAAACTTCCAATATCGTTTTTTTTTTGTGCGTTTTTTATTTGCGGCGGCGCTCTGGCCGGCCCAGGCGCCGGGATTTTCCGGGGGGGCCCAGCAACAGAAAAACAAACTGGGGGGGTTGGGGGTTCTCTGGCCGGCCCCATCCTTCGGAGTGTCTGGGGGGGAGGGGGGCTTCGGAAAACGCGCCAACTCGTTTCTTTCACGGCTGTTTGTCCGTGGTTCTGGATTAACTGCGATAAGATTTCTGACCCATCCGAACTCAGGCGAGGAAGGAGGAGGGGGAAGAGAGCAGAATGGCCACTGGCCCCATGCATGCCATTCGAAAACTTTTCGAATGTTTCTGAAAAAGTGCCCGCGGGTTCTCGAAGTGCGTCTCGGCCGCTTCTCGGCGGTTCCGGGGGCCTCTCAGAGCATCTTGGGTGCTGCGGGGGGGCCTATTGGAGATCTCTTCGGGTTCTCTTGAGAGTCGCTTCGGGGCCCCTTAAATGCTCCCAGGGGCCTCCTGGGCGCCTTTTGGCGGCGGGCGTCGGGGGCCATCTCGGGGCCAGCCTGCAGGCGATCGATCGCAAAAGTGTCGACTAAATTGTCGGCGGTTCGCGTGCCCCCATTCGTTTCGGGCGCCGCCCCCCTCAATGTTTCTCTGCTTCGGCGCGGCCCGCCCAAGCTTTGCCCGGCCCCCGACTTGCCTCGCGAGCCCGCGGACCAAAAAGTAGCCCCAGAGGCCCGCCCAGACACGGAAGGGCGAGAGTAGATCGCTGACACTTCGCGCATCCCCAGAAGCTTATCCAGACGCGATCGGAGGCTTCTCGAGGCCCGCTGCCCGCCCGCCCGCCCGCCGCGTTCCCGCGTTCAACGCAGCACCCAACAGTCAAAGACGCCCGTCTTCAACGCAAGGCCCAGTACTCAGCGGCCCCCGCCCCCCACGCGACGCCCAGTATTTAGCGGCATCCCGCTGCAAGAAAGGATCGTTGGGGGCGCGGTTAAAATGCCGATCAGCCCGCCCGCCCCCCGCTCGCCGCGCCGCTCGCCCGCCCGCCGTGCTTCCTCGTTCAACGCAGCGCCCAATACTCAACGGCGCCCATCTCCAATGCCACACTCAGCGCTCGACAGCCCCCGTTTCCAACGCAGCGCCCAGTGCGCAACGGCGTCCCGCTGCAGAAGAGAATCCAGAGAAGTTTTGTTCGGATCCTTAGAAGTTCTGTTCCAATCCCGATCCGCCCGCCCGCCCACCCGCCCGACCGCCGCCCGCCCGCCGCGCTTCCGCGTTCAACCCAACGCACAGCACTCAACGGCGCTCGCTTCCACTTCAAACCCCGGCGCTCGACAGATCCCCTCTCCAACGCAAAGCCAAGTACTCAGCGGCATGCCGCTGCAAAAGAGACCCCATAGGATATCCGCTCAAATCCCAACCTCCGCCCGTCCGCCGCCCGCCCCCCACACGCCCGCCCGCCGTGCTGGCGCGTTCAACGCAACGCCCAGTACTCAACGGCGTCCGTCTCTAATTCAGCACCCAGTACTCGACGGACCCTGTCGCCAACGCAACGCCCAGTACTTAGCGGCATCCCGCTGCAAGAGAGAGCCCGTAGGGCGTCTGTTCAAATGCCGATGGGCCCGCCGCCGGCCCGCCCGCTCGCCGCCCGCCGGCCCCCCGTCGCCCGCTCGCCGCGCCGCCGCGTTCAACGCGACGCCCGGTACTCTATAGCGCCCGTCTCCAGCATAACACAGTGCACTCAACAGCCCCCATCTCCAGCACAACACATTTGCACGACGCCCAGTGCTCAACATCATACTGCTGCAAAAGGGAAGCCTTAGGAGTTCGACTGCACTTCCAACCCGCCCGCCCGCCCGCCCGCCCGCCCGCCCGACCGCCGCCTGGCCGCCGCC